TCTCTCTCTCTCTCTCTCTCTCTCTCTCTCTCTCTCTCTCTCTCTCTCTCTGTGTGTATGGTGTGACTGTGTGTATACTTATGTGTGCACATAGAGGTGAGAGGAAATGGTGGGTTGGTGGGTGTCATTCTCTGTTGAGCCTGTAGGACAGAGAAAAGCCTGGCTCGAGTTTGAGGGAACTGAGTGAGGATGAGACAGCAAAATCTAGGTAGATGCCCCTCCAGCCAGAGGGAGGGTTTGGCTGTCTCTCATTGGCTGGAGGTACCCCCACATCACACCATGTCTCTTAACCTACAGAAGCTGATGCTCACCGTAATAAACTGAGTTCCTGCTTTGCCTTGACTCCCTATCGCGTCTGATTGTCCTGCTTCTTGGGGTTGCAGAATGGGCGGATAGTAGGCTAGCACACTCACCTTTCCCTGGGGATTGAGGAGGCTAAGGAAGCCTAGCAATTCTCTATCGCCAGTTTATTTTTAAAAGGGAGAATCTTTCACGGAACTTAAATCCACCGTTTCGTTGAGACTTGCTGCAGGAGTACCTTCCGCTGCCTCAGCCAATAGTCGCTGAAGCACGAGCCCACAGTGTTGCGGGAGCGCCTTCCGCTCCGTCAGCCAATAGCCGCTGAAATACCAGCCCACTGGGGCGTGGTATATTTCTCTTTAAAAGAAGAGCGGCAAGCTCGGCTCGGCCTCTTGGTTCCTGCGCTTGGTTCTGGCTCCTGCTCCCAGCTCCTGCTCCAGCAACTAGGCTCCCTTCCTGACGGTTTATGGTGTATGTAAGTTTTACCCCCCAAAATAAATACCCCCTTAAAACATAATTGGTGTGGGATTGATTCGCCATTAGAGACTGTTGGGCCAGCCAGGTCCCAGGGTCCACTTGTCGCCTCTCTCCCATCTTTGGGGTTGCAGGCATGAGCGGTCATGCTGAATTTTTTAATGTGGGCACTGGAACTTTAAACTCAGGTCTTCTTGCTTTCACAGCAAGTGCCCTTACCAACTGGGAATCGATCTCCCCAACACTGAAAACTGTTATTCTTGAGACTCCAGAGAATTTTGATGACTACTTATGGGTAAGTTCTCAGAAGAATTTCTTATAAATTTGCTAAATGCATATTGCAATGATTATATTTCTGTATTTTTGTCATAGTTTAAACAACATGATCAGAACTGTGTGATCTAAACATGCCACTTCCAAATGCTCTTATTATCTTTCATTAAAGGACAGACACAAATGGACCTCAGTGTCCTGCACCCTGAGTCCCCTGCCAAGGAGCTTATAACCCTCCACTAGGTCTGAAGATATAATTACTGTACAGGGACAATAATGGGGTTGAGGGAGAAGAACCTTGAATTCCAGCCTAAATCTCTTACCCTCTATGCACCTGATCATGGAAAAGGACCACCTAACCTTCCTAGGGCGAAGTGGCCATGGCAAATCACACCTGCCACATTTGGTTCTCCTAAGGCTTGAGTTGGGGAAAAAAAATCTCAGAGAGGCCACATTGAAAGCTCTGAAGGGTAACCATGATGGGAATCTGTAATACAGTAGATGGAAACAGATTCAGAAGGTGTGTGTGTGTGTGTGTGTTGGGTGGGTAGTGAGGAAGAATACTGGTAAACCAGAAACAATAACTGATATCACCCTCTACTGGGATTTGAGAGCCATGCATGTGACCTTCTGTCTGATCCATTCATCTCAGCTAGCAGGAAGGAAAGGTAAATTGGGCATTATATTACAATCATAATTATAGATTATATGTTCAATAGAAAAGAACAAATAAAAGGAAGGGCAGGGAAGAGGGAGAGAAAAATTAACATTTCATCATCACCAAGACAAGTCTCAGGAATAGAAACAATGGATGAAAACAAAGCTATTAGTAAAATATGAAATAATTAAAGAATGAATACTGAATTGTTTTAAAAAATTAGATCACATTCTTTAACAAAAAGGTTAGTATATTGCCGAGCATGATGGCACATGCCTTAACTCCAGCACCCCAGAGGTAAATGCAGGAGGAGCACTATGAGATCAAGGCTTGTGCAGTCAATATAGGGAGTCCCAGGACAGAGAAGACTGCATAGAAAGATCCTGTCTCAAACAAAACAAAACAAAACAAACTAAATCCAACACCTTTCACAATAGCCATAAACAATGTAAAATATCTTGGATGGGATTAACTCTGACTGAAGAAACTGAAAGACTTGTAAGACAAAAACTTTGAAGAAAGAAGATGAAGAACATATCAGAAGATAGAAAGATTCCCCCATGTCCATGTCTTACCAAAAGCAATCTGCAGACTCAACATAATCTCTATCAAAATTCCAACACAATGTTTACAGACCTTGAAAGGACAATACTCAACTTGATATACAAAAGCAAAAACCCAGGAGAGCTAAAACAATCCTTTATAATAAAAGTATTTCCAGAAGTATCACCATCTCTGATTTCAAGCTGTGTAGAGGTATAATAATAAAAATTTAATTAATAAAATTAGAGGTATAGTAATAAACTACATGGTATTAACATAAAAACAGACAGATTGATCAATGGAATTGAAATGAAAACCCACACATAAATCAACACACCCATGAACATCCAATTTTTGACAAAGAAGCCAGAAATACACAATAGAAAAAAGAAAACATCTTCAACTGTAACACCCGATTCTGTGTTAACCCCTTGGTACAGTTCACGCACCACTGTACTGTATGCTAGTCGGGCAAGGGCCTGGAGATTGAAAGAACACAAAAGAGACCTGGGTTGTTCGAAAGGAGATCAGCCAAATGCCTTTTATTCAATTTAGGGGAAATCCTATTATACCTGGCTGCTGCACAAGGATTTCTGACCAGGCAGGTGGGAAATTACCATACCAAAGATGAAACAATGCCCTACAGCTAATCACCAGGCGAGGCAGAGGGAGCACAGGAACAAACAGGATGTTTAGCTGACTGACCAGAAACTCCTCAAGATGCACCCCAGGAGCAAGGGCAGACCCGGGCCCTACATTCAACAAATGGTGCTGGTCTAATGGGATATCTGAATGTAGAAGAATGCAAATAGATCCATATTTATCACCCTGTACAATACTCAAGTCCAAGCAGATCAAAGACCTCAACTAAACCCAGTAACGCTTAACCTGATACAAGAGAAAATGGAGAACAGCCTAGAGTGCACTGTCACAGGAAAAAATCTCTTCAACAGAATACTGCTAGCATAGGCCGTAAGATCAACATTTAATAAATGGGACCTCCTAAAACTGAAAAGATTATGTAAGGCAAAGGACACTGTCAATCAGACAAAGTGACAGCCTACAGAATAGGAAAAAATCTTTACCATCCCCACATTGACAGTGGGTTGATTTCCAAAATATATAAAGAACTCGAGAAATTAGACATCAAGAAGCCAAATACAATTAAAAATGGAATGCAAATATAAACAGAATTTTTGACTGAGGACTCTTAAATGACAGAGAAGCGCTTAAAGAAAGATTAAACATCTTTATCCATCAGGGAAATGTAAACCAAAACTA